TTCTTCTTTCTTTCCTTCTCTCTCTCTCTTTCTCTCTTTCTTTCTTCTTTTCTTCTTTCTTTCTTTCTTTCTTTCTTTCTTTCTTTCTTTCTTTCTTTCTATCTGAGGGATTCAAAACCACTTAGTGTATTTTGTAGAGAATGAGAAACAAAAGTGTTTTCATTGTGGCTTTAGGATGGAAGCGCTTTAGGGTCCCTGCCTGGCTCCCTTAAATCAATGCCTTGGTAGCAATACCAGTAATCAACCTCCTACCCACCTGCCCTCATAAACTGTGTCCGGTGGTGTCTGTACCGCGATGGGCTGTGCTCTCCAAGGTTGCCCAAGATGTGGCTCTGGTCACTCCGGTAAATCCATCGTCCAGGTAATGGGGCAGAGAGAAGAGCCCTTTATGGTAGGTAGAGGGCAGCCAGGCCTTAACTTTAAAGGGAATGATGAGCGGATTTAACTTCATAAAAATGAAAAAGATAATTTTTTTTTGTATATAAAAATGCCAAAATTGGGGTGAAGAGATGCAGTACTCATTAAGTGCGAGCCTGAGGTTGGGCTTTGGATCTTAGAGCTCACAACACATTTGAGTTGGCACAGTGGCCTGCCTTATTTCCAGCTCGGAAGAAGGGGGCTGAGGATCCCAGAACAAGATGGCTAGTAAGACTGAGGCTGTCATCCTGTTTGTCTTTGATTGGGAGACCCTGCCACAGTGAATACAAGGCAGACCAGTAAGAAAATGATTCCCAGACCACCATATTTTCAGGCAACCATGGACTTCTCACATCCTACACATATGCAACCATGTATACACATGCTTTGCACATGGGAAAAGCAAAAGGAAAAGCTGCAAAAATTGCAAGGGAAGGAGGTTAGATCCTGGCTGGGCGGCTGAAGTTGGACACTGTCTTAAATAAAAAATAAGAACAAAAACTGAGTAAACTTTAGTAATAAAATGCTCTCCTAGCATGCATGAGACTCTGGATTAAATTCCCAGCCTTTCAAAAACAAAAGAAAAGAAGCTAGAATGGGAACAAATGAGAGAGACTGGGACAGAGACACCCTGCTCAACCAGACTGCCTAAACTCCAGGTTGGCCGCCTGCCTGTAGGCCTCCCATACTCTCCTGGTGCTACCAAACCCTACTACCAATCTGCCCAACCTTGCTTGTAGCTGTCTCAGTGTCCAATTTGTGTGGAGACCCTCTGCTTAATCATAGGCCACACCAAACAGAAGACTAGAGAGGAAACATAGACCAAGGAACAAAACGCCCATCCAAAAAAGATAAATAAATTTGTCCTGTCTACAAGAAATGCAGGCAGAAAGATGGCGCAGAGACCGAGGGAATGGACAACCGATGTCCAACCCAATTTGAGACTGATCCCATGGGCAAACACCAATCCCTGACACTACTAATGATACTCTGTTATACTTGCAGACTGGAGCCTATCGTAACTGTCCACTGAGAGGCTCCACTTAGTAACTGAGTGAAACAGATGCGGAAACTCACGGGCAAAGATTGGACGGAGCTTGGAGAGTCTTATGGAAGAACTTGGGGAGTCTTATGGAAGATCTGGGAGAAGGATTGAGGGACCTAGAGAGTATGGGAACTTCATAGAATGACCAACAGAGTCAAGTAACTTGGACCCTTAGAGGCTTTCAGAGATTGAACCTCTAACCAAAGAATATACATGGGCTTGACCTAGACTTCCTGCACATGTGTAGCAGATGTGTAGCTCCAACTTCATGCATGCCCTTCAACAACTGGAACAAGGCTGGAATGTCTGCCTGCCTGTTATTCTGTTCTCCAAACTGGGCTGCTTTGTCTGGCCTCAGTGAGAGATCACGTGCCTAGTCCTGAAGGGACTTGATGTACCAGGGTGAGGAAACACATAGGGGTGGCTCTGCCCTCTCAAAAAGGAATGGGAGAGGGGAATGGTGTGAGGGACTATGGGAGGGGAGGACTTGGAGGAGGAGGAGGGCAGTTATCAGGATTTAAATTGTATAAATAATGGGGAAAATGGGGTTCAGATTTAATCGGAGATTTTTTCATCAAATAATGAATTAATTTGTGATATAGACATTTAAAATTCACTTTGGAAACATAGTACATGTTTAAAATTTTATAATTAAAAATTAAATTCATATTTTAAAATATTGAAAAAGGAAAATTCTAATTGCTGTTGTCCAGTGGTAAAGTTTTCTGAACTGTTTAGGGTCAAAAAAACCTAGTTATGCTAACATTTTTGAGATCATAAAAATAAGAGAGGCTTCAAAACTCTTATGAGGCTAATATTATCCACAAATTAATAAATGTAAGCCATACAAGAACAAAGACAAACTAAAAATTATAATCTTTATCAACATAGGCTCAAACATTTTTACCAAAATGTGAAAATAAAAGTACATTGTGAACCATGGAAAACTAGTTGATTTCAACATTAGAAGAATCAATAAACTTAACATATCAATAGCCTGAAAAATACAGTATGATCTACAGAGACTTGATTCAGTGTTGGACCAAATTTAATATTCCCTAATAAGAACACCCTCAGGAAATCATGAACAGAAGAAATTATATTCAATTTTTATAGAGCACTTAGGAAAACTATAATCAATGTGATACTTAATGATGAAAAGGCAAGCTGAGCAATAAGCTAAGGATGATCATTTTCATAATTCCCGTTTCACTTAATATTGGATTTCTTCTTCAGTATGACAAGGAAAATAAATGAAATAAAAACATATAGATTAAACAGAACAAACTTATACCTATCGAAGTCCTGTCCACATCAGAAAACTCAAATAAGATAAAAAACCAAACGGTCATACAAAAGCTAGTACTGGAGTTGAAGCAAGGTATGAATGTACCAAAATTAATTGTGTTTATATTGTTATGAAAAAATTAAAAGCAAAATTAAAAAAACCAATTCATTTCATAACAATGTTGACAAACAAAAGAGTTTATGAATAAAGCAAAAATTGCATTACTGAAATGCTGAAAATTAATACCTAGTTTTTAAAAATTCATGGGTTCTGGAAATAAATGAAGGGATATACCATGTTGGTAGACTGAAGGGGATGTTCTAAAATGCCTTTTCTCTTCAGGTTTGTATAGTGACAAAAAACAAATATATAAACATTATTAGGATTTTGAGTAGATTTCAACAATGTGATTCCAGAACTAACCTGGAAAAATCAAGGGCTGCAGAGAAGGCTGTAGAATAAGCAGTTTCACCAAGACAGAGCAAGTAACCCACACTTTCCATTTTAAATGTAGTCATAGCTTTGCAGAAATGAGCAACGATGGTTTTGCGAACAGGTCAGACACAGACCAAGAAAGCATGATGGGAATTTCAGAGGCAGATTCATATACCATCAGTCACTGTCAGGTGA